TAATATTATATAATCTCATCTCAAAGTCTCATTTACAAACTGAAATCTGAATTCATATTTTCTATAGAGGATTTTAAAAAGAATCTTCCGTGTGAGAATGCATTCTCACATCCCATAGAAATGTTAACTACGCCACTGATTGTGAAATATATTTTTATATGTTCACATTTTTGTGTATATTTTTGGTTTATTGTTTTCATTTTTCATATTTTGTAGACAATAATTTAAAATTAATATCTGACTGCATAGATACGTACACAGCAATTTATTTATGTCTAAAAATATAAATAAAGAAAAAATAAAACAACAAATTTCTTTGTTTTTGTGGTAGACAGTTGGGTGTGTTCGGAAAGGCAAATTTGTAATTAATATGTTTGTCTTCTAGTACCAGAAGAGCTAGTTATACGGACAGAAAAAATTCTGAGCATGTCGGTTGTATTCCGAATTTTCATGATTGAGGATTTTTTTGAAAAAAAAAAAATAACTTTTTCAGAATCATAGAACTGTGACCATATTTTAGAAAAAGATTATTAGGTCTTCTATGAAAGCTGTTAATATTCTACAATGAATAAAACTGGTTTGCTCTTCTATGAGAATACCTAACCGAAATAAATTAAGATACGGTAGGTTTATCTTATTTTATTTCGGTGGGCAGGACCAAAAAACTAAGATATTTATTTTTATAAATATCAGTTTACTATTTAATTGAAAATTCTGATTTTAGCTCACGACGAATACGTTTTGCGCTCATGCAGCTTCTCTTCTAAACATGGATCACTTAGTTTATTTTTTATTAGAAAATATAATTTTTTTCTGCTGGCATTGAAAGAAGAAAATCTTCGAAATTTATAGAAGATGCCTTAGGACTTTCCTATTTCAGGTTTTTTTTAAGAGCAGAATATTTCCTTTTTTATAAATATGAACCCTTTTAATCTCAAAATCAATTCTCTAGAAAATGTCCCCTTATTTTCTGCCCCATAAACATTTATATTTTTTACACTTTAAGAACTTAGAAAATTACCTAAACAACCTCATCATTCAGTCTTCATTCTTTGTCCCACATCCGACAAAACAGCAAAAATTTGCCGACTTTTGTTGTCTTTTGTTAGCTTTTCAACAATAGCAACAAAAATTCTTAAAGTCTACACAACAAACAACAAGAAATAATACCTTGAATTGCCCATTGCATAAATAAAAACAAAAGCCAAACGGAAAAAGAATTACAGGAAATCCGCACAGTACATAAATGAGACAAAGCAGCCTATTTTATGTAGCCATTGTAAAGTGTTTGGGCATTTAGAAAAATGAATACTGTTTTAAAGACAAAATATACTAAAGGTATTCTTTTAATTGCTAGTATGATATATTTAGATTTCTTTGGTTTTGAGAAGTTAAATTTAATGTGAAAATTTGAAAACATGAAAAGAAAATTCATCTTTTTCCAAAATTTGCACCAATAGACTGAATAAAGTATAAACATTTGTAAGTAATTTGCAATAAAATGTAAACCACATTTAAAAATGTTCCCACATTATTGTGAAGGAATTAAAGGCGTATACATGTTGTCATTAGTCATACGCGCCCATAACCTGTTGATAAAAGCGAAAACATCCTACAACATCATTGTCATTAGAAATTCTAAGTCGCATCAAATGCTTGGAAGTAATTGTTTATTTTCAATGTCAATGCCGAATTTCTAGCAAATAACACATATTTATTCACTAAACCGCATCAAATTTTTGAGTGTTATATTTTTTGATAATATTGTTTTTAGAAATATTAACATTAATATATTCCTTTTTCTATTATTTGTTTCTTCCTGTAGCTACTATCATTCTTTAATATATCCCTCACAATTGTGAGTGCCTTTATGGCGTATACATGTTGTTATCAGTCATACGCCCCAAAGATCTTTTAATAAAAGCAAAAATCCCCTACAAAATCATTGTCTTTATATATTACTGCCGACATTTCTTGCAAATAAAAATATTTACTTTCTCAAATCCACATCAAATACTGGGGTGTAATTATCCATTTTCCAAGAAGAAACACAAACGCAAATATGCCACAAAAATGTCTTCTATCTTCCTGCAGAGCTACAAGAAATAATAAACTAAGCATAGCTTTAGCTAACGAATAGTTTGCCATGTCTGTTAACTTGCGATGGCTTTAAATGTTAAGAAAGAGATACAAAACTAAAACCACAGAAATGTAGCTTGTTTTATATGCATACATATATAGAACAATTTGACATACAAATGTCTATAATATGCTGTAGGATATATGAGGATGATTATACTACATAAGAAAGGAGTATAATGGAAATAAGAATATCAATAATGGAGGGGATAAAGATGAGATCAGGGATGTTGTTATTGGAATTTTGTACTGAAGACTTTGAGCTAAGATGAAAATTCCACAGCCATACAGTGAAAACTAGACAAATTGAAATCCCTTTTTAAGGAAAAAAGATATTTTACTTAATGAATCCCAAACCGAGTAATATACATATAGTCCACTCTATGATGAATAGAATAATGTCTGTATGATTTCTTATTATAGTTTCCCATAACAAAGAATAGTCGTTGTGTTTTTTTTTCATTCTTTATGCATACATATGAACATATATGCCTCACAGTAAAGTAGGCCTGTAGTACGTATACGTGCTGTTGCCAACCATACGCTCCCATGGTTATTTTTTGTTCAACTATGGAAACTGCATTATTATGGTAATACTTATTGTAAATCGAAATTTAAATAGCTTATTTTTTCAAAGTACAGCTATGGTCAAAGTGAGATAAGTTAACAACTCGAGAACAAAATATTCATCTTCCATAGAAAATATTGAGACATGCCTACAAACTGTAAACCCATAATATGTTCAGATCTGATATTTTTTATACCTAGTCCATATATTATCGTACTAGTCTTTTAAAATTAATTGCCGGTTTATATAAATAACTTATATAAGTACATATATACCTCATATTAAAATAGGCCTCTAGGGCGTATACATGTTGCTGTCAATCATTCGCTCACATGGATGTTTTAAAAGAAAATTGCGTTTATTCCGCAATTTTTTCATGTAAATCGTAATTTAAATACCTTTTATTTCCAATGGGCATCTATGGACAAAGTGAGATATGTTACAATCTTTACTAGTATCTAAAAATTAATTTTCTCTCATAATCTGTGGAGCTACACAGACAAACCTACAAAATGTAAGCAAATAATTCAAAAGTTATTGTTGGATTTCCAGCCATCATCCGGCTTGTCTCTTTTTTCCCAGTCCATATACACTGCCTTATCAATTTAATTGAAATTATAATAAACTAGACCTATAGAACGTATACATTTTGTTGTTAATAATACGCTCACATGGCTATTTTTATACAAAAACGGCATTGTTTCCGTAATTCTATTTGAATTTAAATAGCTTTTATTTTTAAAGTGCATGTATGGACCACGTGAGATAATTTAGAAAAAAAATCGATGTTTTTTTATAAAAAACACACATAAGTTCATATATGCCTTTAATAAACTAGGTCCATGAGACGTATACATGTTGTTGTCAATCATACGCTCACATGGCATTTTTAATATTGTAGCTGCATTATTTCTGTAACTTAAATCGGAATTTATATAATTTTATTTTTAATCGACATCTATGGCCACATTGAGATAAGTTAAAACCTGAACAAGTATCTAAAAAAATTTCTCACTTTTATATATGTACAGTTACCCAGATAGACCCACCAACTGTAGTCAAATAATGATAGAGTTATTGTCAGATTTCCTGCCATCACACCATTTATCTTTGTTACCTAGTAAATAAACAGTCGTATTTTTGTCTTACCAAATTAATTAAAATTAAATGTCTCACAGTAAATCAGGCCTATAGCACGTATACATGTTGATGTCAATCATACGCTCACATGGTCGTTATTTATATGGACATTGTAATGCATACTGTAAATCGAAATTTAAATAGCTTTTATTTTCAATGGGCACCTATAGCCAAAGTGAGATAAATTAAAAACTAAAGAACTAAATATCCATCACTTATATAATATATGCCAAAACATACAAACATGCCTACAAATGGAAGATTTATTGTCGGTTATCCAGTCATCATCCCATTTATCTTTTTTTTTTATTTTATTCCCAGTCCATAAACACTGTCGTACTTGTGTCTTATCAAATTAATTGAAATTATTTATAACGAAGAAAATCATTATCCTTCCGTTACTCATTCTTTTCTTTTCAAATTCAATTCAATTCTGCTATGTCTGTTTTTTTCTTATTCTTCTTCTTCTTCTAGTTACAAAAATAAACCGTCAACCAAACCCAGAGATTGTTGTGCCAACTTGCCTTCTGGTGTCGACATAAAACCATCATCAATGGAATAAAACCACAACACATTAGAGCCGAGCATTGAGGAGAACAGAAAAGCTACAGCTACGGGAAAATGTTGCCATGGCAAATAGAACAACAAATCCAACTCTTGCATAGGCACGTTTGCCAATAAAACAGGATATGAAAATAAATCAGTCCCAAGAACCGAAAAAAATAAAACAACGCCCGAACTAACGAAAGGCAGACCGACGCAAGCAGAAGAAGAAGAAGAAAAAATACAAACAAATAATGTTGGAAAAATCCCACAAAAGACATTTATCCATGCCATAAAATCTGCTCTACATTACGAGAAAAAAGCAACTCAAGAACAACAGCAGCCAAAGAAGAAAAAGGCGAGGGCAACTTCCAGGAACATAACTCTTAACAGTCAATAATCATTCAAAACATTTAGGAAGAAAAAAATTGACTCATCCTGTTGCTGTTTTCCTTTTTTCGGTGAAGAAAAGCATTATTACTTCCTGCGGAAGGTGGTGGTGGCAGCGGCAGCGGCTAATGTTAAATGTATTACGTACGTTAGCTTATATACCAAACCACCAGGGCAAAACAACCAACAACAACACCATCTCTCCAAACAGTTAGACAACATGTTTCCGTTAAGTTTTATTGATGTTGGCAACCCGTTACCGGCCTATATGATGTCTTCTTCTTTGTCAGCCATGGATGCCATTTCACCCACAGCCGCAGCTGCCATAGCTCTTGGCGCTGTCTCAGCAACAACAACAACAACGTCAATCGGCAGTAGTAGTGGTGGTGCTGGTGTCAGTCGTAATATTGCCTCCCTATCCTCATCATCCACCACCTCCCTGGCAGATAATGTTACCCGCATTGCCTTGCTGGGCAATGATGCGGCGGCAAATGATTCTGCCAATAGTTTTGTACCATCGATACAACGTCCCGAAACGATTGTCGTTGCCATACTCTTCACGCTCATCTTTATTGTTGGTGTTTTGGGTAATGGTACATTAGTGATAATATTCTTTCGCCATCGTTCAATGCGTAACATTCCAAATACGTAAGTATTAAATTCGATTTTGTTTCTTTTATGCAAAAAAATATTGATTTTTTCTCGCCGAAGTTATATTTAGAAGAGAGGTAAAATATAAGGCAGAATAGAATTACAAATGTAGTTTCAATTATTATTTTTTAAAGAATATTTGAACTTAATTCCTCAAGTAATTGTGAAGGCATTTATGGCGTGTACGTGTTGTCATAAGTCGTACGCCCCTATGATCCTTAAATTAAAAAAAATCCCCTTCGAAATCATTGTCTTTAGAAATTACTGCCGACTTCTCCTGCAAATAAAAATTAATAAATTTAAACTTAAACCACTTAAATACTTGGAAGTAGTTCCAATTTAAAAAAAAAAAAAACAAATATCCCACAAAAATGTCTTATCTTGTCGCAACAAAAAATAATACTCAAAGAAAACGAGCACTTCCTACACGTCTATTCTTTTATTAGAAAACAACAAGTGGACCGTAGAAAATGTACCCATTTTCTAAGGTCCACTGAAAAAATTATTCTACCGGTATTTTACCTCCCTTTTTCTGATTTTGGCATCATCAAACTTATCATTTTCATATTACTCCACTGTGCAAGTATGATGAATAGGAAAATGTATTTTCACCGTATTCCATAACAAAGAATAGTATTCGGTTTTTTTTTTGCTCTCACATAAGTACATTTACGCCTCCCAATAAAGTGGGCCTATTGGACGTATACATGCTGTTGTCGATCATACGCTCAAATGGATATTCTTGTGTAGTAATTGCATTAGTTCCCCAATTCTTTATGTAAATCGGAATTAAAATAGCTTTTATTTTCAATGGACATCTATGGCCAATGGGAGATAATTTAGGAAAGAACATTGAGTTGCTTCAGAAGTAAGAATTCAATTTACAGTTGAACTCCCCATGAATAAAGTAATGTCTGCATTTTTCTGTTCATGTTTTCCCAGAACAAAGAATAATCTTTTGTGGTTTTTGTATTCCTTAAAACACATACAACATATACGCCTCCCAATAAAGTAGGCCTCTGGGTCGTATGCATGTTGTTGTCAATCATACGCTCACATGGGTAGTTTGTGTATTAGCTGCATTATTTTCGTAATCCTTACTGTAAATAGGAATTTCAATAGTTTTTATTTTCTATGGCATCTATGGCCAAAGTGAGATAAATTCAATTCTGAAAAAGTATATAAATATCTCTCACACATATAATCTGTGGAGCTGGATAGACATGCCAACAATGTGTTGACAAATAATGAAAGAGTTAGTGTCGAATTTCTTTAATCATCTATTTCCTAGTCCATACACTGTCTCACTTGTAATTTTACTTGAAATTATTTATAAAGAACTCACATAAGTACATATACGACCCATAATAAATTATGCCTTTGGGACGTATACGTGTTGTTGTCAATCATACGGTCAATGGTTTTCTTGTTAATCGGGATTTAAGCAGTATTTTTTCTCAATAGGCATCTATGGTCAAAGTGAGATAAATTCAAAACTGAAGAAATATCTAGTTTTCACATACATTCTGAGGTGCTACATAGTGTAGACAAATAATGAACGGCTTATTGTCGGATTTCTTCAGTATACACTATTTTTATTCCTAGTCAATATACTTTCGAATTTGTAAAATTAATTGTAATCATTTATAAAGGACATACATAGGTGCATATATGTCTTGTTATAGACTAGGCCTTTGAGGCGTATACATGTTGTTGTCAATCATACGCTCACATGGCGATTATTGATATTGAAACTGGATAATATCAGTAATTCTTACTGTGATTAGGGTTTTTAAGAGCTTTCATTCTTAATAGATGCCTATGGCCAAAGTGAGATAAATGAAAAACTGATGTATCTATTTATCATTCTCACTTAGTATGTGCTAGGATATACAGATATACCTTCAAAATATTGTCCTATTATCGGATCATAAATGCGTCCTTTGTACTTTGTTTACAAAGGTCGTATTTATGGTTGGAATGAGATGAAATTTGGCAATGCTTATTTATTTGGCCCAAGGACAACCCCTATGAAAATTGATGAAAATCGATTCCGATTTAGATATAACTCCCCAATTTGAGGTCAATTTACGCATTTTTTTCACAGCCTAACAGATTATGTGTAGATTAACATATATGAAGTTTTGCCGAGATTTTTTCAGAATAAGATAAATGTCCCAAATATATTTTCGTTCGATTTAAGGCAAATAGTGCACCGAAGTCCCACGGTTTATCGGAACGAAATTTAGCATAGTGTATCAAATAGATGGACGTGTGTTAATTTTTGTGGAAATCGTTTGATATTTTGATATAGCTCTCACATATAAATTCGTGGAGATTTAGATATAGCTCCGATGTATTTTTTCCTTCTACGAAACCAAAAATACACCCCTCACCGTTTACCCTATTGTAACACATATTTCAAACAGGGTAATATTGGCAATTTATATAAAAACTATATTCAATTTATTTCTGTTACATGTACCCTTGGCTCAGAACAATGTCCCCTCTTCCACAAAAAAACTGCTCCCTCTGGCTACAGAATATAAAATAACTCATCGAATGACCATTCTTTCCCTCGAAACGGAAAACGGAAACTGATAATCTATCATAAACTTGCCATACAAGTTATTTTTGCTTACAACAACAGGAAAAAAAATCACAAACCAACCAGCCAAAGACCAACTGTGTAGAGGATATTCCAATTGGAAAAAATTTAATTTTTTTTCTCCAATTTTCCGTTTCCTTTTTCCTATCCCCATTTATTATTATTTTCTATTCAAGAAAATAAAATATTTCCCTTTAGGGATTTTTCTGTGTGTGGTTAGAGAAAAAACACACAATTTCAAGTGGCGTGTGTGTTTATTTTTGGTAAAATACCAAGAATGAATACAAGAAAGAAATTCTCAAGTATTTTTGCAAATAAATTTTCTGATTGAATATCAATTTCCGGTTAAGTGTGCACACACAAAAAATATATTCCTACTTGAGAGGGAATATTTACATTTTATTTAAAAAAAAAATGAAATAGATAAACTTATATTTCTAATATGAATATAAGTATTTAGAAGTATGGAGTAAATATTTATTTTTATGTTGCGGGTGACGTATGAATTTTAGTATTTATTTATGGAAAAGTAAATTGCAAAAGCATTTATGTTTCTATTTTACTGCTGTGAATTGATTTCCCAAATTCTCTCTTCAGTGTAGAACAAAGTTTCAACTTCCGATCTTAAAAAAAATAATAATAAAAAAGTCCTTTTAGTAAGGAATAAAAATCCTTTATCAATGTTAAAATCAAAATCTTCTTATCTTATTTTCTTTTCAGTTACATTCTATCTCTGGCCTTGGCCGATCTCTTAGTTATAATCGTTTGTGTTCCATTGGCCATATTGGTGTACACCCAGGACAGTTGGACCTTTGGCAAGAGTATGTGTCAAATAACGGAATTCTTCAAAGATGTGTCAATTGGTGTGTCAGTGTTCACCCTCACGGCATTGTCGGGTGAACGTTATTGTGCCATTGTCAATCCATTGCGTAAATTACAGGTAAGTAACAACACTGGGAGGGAATGAATCTCTGTAGGCATCATTATCATCACTTTGAATTGTTGTCATGAAAACCCATCTCCCTCATCAGCAAATTTTCGTTGTTATCTAACTCCTTGACCATTATTGCAGACAAAACCATTGACTGTCATAACGGCAACAATGATTTGGCTATTGGCCATTATTTTTGCCACACCCTCACTGGTAATGTCCACCCTGCAGTACATCGAAATCAATACGAATCTGACAATAATTGTCTGTTCGCCATTCGGTGAGGAACGGCCCAATTTGGAGGTCTATACCAGGTGAGTAATTTAAATAATGACAATAATAAATATTAAATAATTATTTTGAATAAATTCCCAAAAATTCAAAAAAATCTTTCCCCTAAAACATATTTTCCAATTAAAAATATTAGTTATGTTATATATTTTTTTAATTAAAAATATTTCATTTCTTCAGTTTTAAAGCGAGGTCATGGCGTGCCTTATCTTTTTAAATCAAAACACACAACACAATCCACAAAAAAATATGAGCTCTATTATTAACTACTGTAGAAAAAATAGTAATTTTTCTTTTTTATATAATACCATTTTGTAGACAATCACTACAACAACAACCACACACATAATAACAACAACACCAACAACAAAATGAAGAACAAGAAAAAAACACGCAATTTGTTTTACACTACAAAATTGTCCCCCCAAAATGTTTATGGTATGTGTGTGATACCATAGCAAATTAAAACCAATATAAGAGTGGGTATTTCCAAATCATAAAAAAATAACTATTATACTCCCGAGAATATTTTAGGAGAGATTTATATTTTGACGATGTAAGATGACTTAAAACCTGAGTAGAATTTTATTCAGTATCAATATTGCATATTTTATATCGACTTAATAGGACTTCTGTAATTTGGAGAATCTTATACGAAACACCAAGTCTTGAAATGTTGTGAATCATTATTTCTACTTCTAAAAATCATATTATAACTAGTCTTCTATTACACACAATATATTAGAATATGGGTTTTATCTTCTAAGAGGACACGTAGTATATCTTATGTTTTTATAGAGCTGTATAAGAGTTTTTATGTTCCATAGAAAGCCTAGTACGATGGTTTATATTTAGTAAACAGAATTGTAAGATTCTAAAATGGTATTTCAAGCGAGATTTGAGGTCTTCTACTCAATAAAATATCGTATAAGAAGTCTTATTTTCAGTAAAAGGCCGTATAAGAGTATGTTTATTGAATCAATGGTCATATAAGCGACAGTTTATTCAATAAAATTCTACATAATGAGTGTTATATATTACACATGCAATGTACGACATTTGACATAACAGTGTATAAGAGTTATTATAAGGTAATACATTTTATAAACAATATTACTCTTAAATAACTACTAAAACAATTAAAGATTTTGATTTGAAGGTTTGTAGACTATCTTTAACATTTTTAATCAATATTATATGATATTTTGCCGATGACCATATAAGAAATAATATAAATTGAAAAATATAGTATAAGAAATATTTTATAATTACAAAAGTATAGTAAAAATGTACGCCGTTTTGTAACTAGCATTATATCATATACAACACTGTATAAGACTAATAATATTTTTTAGTTTTTGTTCGAGTCCACCTTTAAAGTCTTATAAATAATATTGTATAGTATAAGAAGAACTATTTCGCTAGAAAACCATATAAAATGTGTTATAACATAAAGAAAAGCGTACACGAAATCTTTAATCTTATATAGAGACCATATAATATACATTATGTCTTATAGAACGTAGTATAAGTTAGCGTATTATATAAGGGGTTAAAATATAATATAGAAAATAGTATAAGAGGCTTTATATATTGTAGAAGCCACACAAGAGGTAATATAACATGATGAAGATAGTATAAAAAGTCTTATATCTTATAAAGGGACAGTATAAGAGTTATAACATTTAAGAGTTTAACATTTTATTTCCAGACCACATTGAAGTCTTAGAATTAATATTATATAGTATAACATATCCACACCGAAAATTTAAATGTGTTATAACATGAAAACAGTATACGTATGCAGTATAAAAGTTATTACACTTAATGGAAGATTTTATAAGAATTTAAAAATTTATTTCTAGAAGTCTAATAATTAATATTGTATAGTATAAGAGAAATAATGTTTCAGAGAAACCCATTAAAATAATCCAATAAAATAGTATAAGAGATTCTTATATTTTATAAAGGGACCGTATAAAACGTCACATTACATGTTATAGAACTATTAAATGAAATATAAGACTTTATGAGAGGTTTACGTTTAACTCCAAAAATACTACAAAATTTCGTTGTATGTCTCACCGGAAATGTCTCAACGGAAACCATACAAAAGTTTTAAAACTTTATCAATATCGTATAAGAGTTCTTATATTTTATTAAGAGGACATATAAAACGTCACAGATTGAAGTATAAGAACTATTAAATGCTATATAAGACTTTCTGAGAGGTTTACGTTTACCTCCAGGATCATATTACAAAATTTATAATCTGTATAATATCGTATAAGAGTATTTTTAGCTATTATAAGGGGTAACAAATTGCCACTACGCCGCATATGAAGTCTTATACTAGAAAAATGTCATATAAGAAGTCATCACTTATAGTACACTCTAATATAACTTATATTTAAAATATACAGGAACGTAAAGGTATTATGTTACAGACAAACGTATAAATGATATACATAGGTTGATGATGGTCATATAGGAGATCTTTCATTTTATATAATACTGTAAACATGGTTTTATATTTAGTTGAATACATTCTTTGATGGTCATATCAGATACTGATAGTATATTCTATAAGAGAGGGTTTGTTAGACTTATTTTATTATAGAAGCTTCCATATTCCATATCGGAACATTAAGAAGAAACTTTCCTAAATAATATTGGAGGTCTTCTAATAAAAATAAAACATTCTACACCCGTATATGAACTTCTTTTGGAGTCGTATATTCCAAAAAAATACTTTCATTGTACCCGCAATTATATTCTCTCCTATATATGATCTCATATTCAGTAATTTTTCCCTCCTTTTTTAATAGAATACTTTTTAAATTTTACGAGAGTCCCATAATTAACCCGATAAAGGAGCGATAGAAAATAAGTATTATTTAAAATTGTTAAACGAGTTCTCCAATAAATTACTCTTTGGCTTTATTTTTTAAATCTCTTCTCTCTGTGAAAGTATTGAGAGTTCATTGGTGTGCTGTTAAGCTTCAAGAGAATCCATTACTGACCTTGGCAACTATACAATCCCAATCTATTTACCCACATTATTTTACCCCTCCCGATTCATTTTCAACAAAACTGTTATTTCTACTATTGTTGCTTTATTTATACTCATTGTGCCAATTTCTTGTGACCAACTGTATGTGTGTGTGTATTTCTCACTCGATCTCCTCCCTTTTCTCTTGTCCTCCCTACAGATATGTGGTGGTGACAAAGGCCTTTGTCTACTACATCCTGCCACTGTTTATAATTGGAGTTCTGTATCTGATGATGGCGCAGCGTTTGCATGTCAGTGCCCGTGAAATGCCCGGCGAAACATTGAGCATGCAAAGTCGTTCACAAGTTCGGGCACGACGTTATGTGGCCCGCATGGTTGTGGCATTTGTGGTGGGTAAGTTGAAGATGAAGCCGCAACTGAACTGATATGAGTAGATTTTCCCCTAGACGAATATATATGGAGGACGGCATGGTTAATGATGCCGATGATAATGGCGATTGTTGTTGTGAGTAGGTGGATGTGTGTTAGTGTTTGTGTGACATTGAACCATCTATCTGCCATCAAACATTGTGACAAAGAGACCAAAAAGAAAAACCACCAATCTTGACATTAAGTGTTACCACCAGCCATGTGAATGACAGCCATTGCTGGCTGCTCAGAGGAGAAGAAACAGCGTGATTTGATGTCGATGGCATATCACGACCATTCCGTTTCGTCCATCCATTTATTTCATGGACAATGTGATATGGATGTTGTTCTTGATGATGTCGTTGATGATTTCCAAAGAAACCCGAAAAAACCGATAGTTATTGATGTCTAGCCTTAGTTGCAACTCAAAATAATATCATTTAATAGAAAAATGTTTCTCTTTCTCTTCATCTCCTTTTTCTTCTCTTCATAATTGCAGTGTTTTTTATTTGTTTCTTTCCCTATCATTTGTTTGAATTATGGTTCCATTTGAATCCAACTAGCCGTGATGATTTCGATGAATTCTGGCATACCATTCGTATTATTGGCTTTTGCACATAGTAAGTATTTTGCGATTTCTGATTTACCTATTGTTGTTGTGACTTTTTGTTGTTGTTAATTAAGCATTATTAAATCGTTCTCAACCAAAACGTGGAGGTATCAAAAAAAAAAAAAAAAAAAACAACCTCAGCAGTCAAATAAACGTAATAAGGCCATCGTAGCTTGTTATCATTCATGGCCATTCCATGTCTTTCAAGCACACACTCACACATATACACATACACACTTTTGTATTCATTGGCCAGCACACCTTTGTTGGAAATCTGCCTGCTTTTCCCGACATCAAATTTGTTACTGATGGGAGGCAAGTGGACACAGGCAGTTTTTTTTTTTTGGGGGAATCAACGCTAATGATTAGTTTCGTAGCAGAGCTACAAATGAACACCAAGCGACAGGTATTTTTTGGCGGAGGATTTTTTTCTGGAAAAGGGTATTAAAAAAATTAAAATGGAAAATGAGAGAAGTAAAAAAGCTGCTTGCTCGGCTTAGAGAAAAAAACAGATGGTACCAACATTTCGAAATTTTTTCAAAACGTCATTCTATTATAGTAAATTTCTAATAAGGGATACGGACAACCCTAATACTATGTTGGATATTTTTGCGGAGGATGTCTTCTATTCAAAAGAACCCAAAATAATTATAGTAAATTTCGAGTGGGAACCATATATTGTTAAAATTAGGATCTTAGGATAAAATGGGTCGAGGACCTTGAAAATATCGAAAATCAAGTGGTCCTCCTTTAAGAACCAATGTACCTATATATAATCGAGAGGAGATCTTCTACCTTCTGAGAAACCAATGGTCGAAATTATAGCCCGTTCGAGTGGTTGTAGTTCTCCTTTAGGATTCCTTTGGCAAAATATTCATACTAAACATCATGTCAATAAGTACCAGTGGACCTATATCAAATGGAAAATTCGACTGGGAGCTTGGGCGAGGGTGTATTTTTCTCTCTTATATGACTTTCAATATACCTTAAATAGCCCGTTTCCGACAAAACTTGGCCCTATGCTGAAACGTTTTGCGAGAAGCAATCTTAACCTCTTACTGAAGGAAATGTCATATTACAATTATTAAGGTTGGAACATTGGAACATAACGCTATGACCCCTCATATAATCGTAATCCAGGAGTATCTTTCATAGGGCCTTACGTCGAAATTTGGACCCATATTGATACTTTTGTACGAAGTTGACGATTAAGCGATTAAGGCCTACGAAATACCAATAAGTTTTTTATTTCTTATTTCAAGAAATGCCATATTATAACCACATCACTTGGAAAATGATGGGAGGCAAGTGGAAAATTGGGGACTTATGTCGAAACTTGGGACCATATAAATATTTTAAACCAAGAGGAATTTTATTTCTTTCATTTATAACCACTTCGTTTGAAGAAAAATGCAACTAGGATTATATTAATACTTAAGATCAGATTCGGTTCCGCAATATAGGGAGTAACTCTCTCTATAAAGACATTTCATTACAAAGGGACCTTCTAGAAATTTAGAACACTAAAGGAACTTACAGCCAACAATGATATATCAAGCCACTAATCAAAACTAAAAAGACTAAAGACCTTCACGAACCTCTCCAGAACGCAAAATTTTCCCAGAACCTAAAGTTTTAAAATCATTCCCTATATAAGTTTACCAGCGACTCCAGATTTTATCCCATTAAATTCTCTGACAGAAATAGCACTGTTTCTTTGGAATCTCTGAGGGTTATGGGTTTGAAAAGTTAGTAAATTTAGTTTTCGGACTTCATGAGGCTAATTTTCTGGTTCATTCATTTTCACATTTTGTTTTTCCTTATTTGTAGTCCAGTGCCAAATTATAAATACCTTTTGTTCTTTTTTTGAACTCTCCCTATTCATGTTCATTTTCACATTAAGTATCTACATTTTCTTTTTCCAAACAGCTTTCTCAATTCCTGTGTCAATCCCGTGGCATTGTATTGTGTATCTGGAGCATTTCGAGCCCATTTCAATCAATATCTCTGCTGTTGGTGTGTTAAACGACAAACACGCATACGTCAGCATTCCACCGCCACCGGTATGATGGACACCAGTATTGTTAATATGTCAATGCGTTCCACGAACAACTATAATCGGGCCTCAGTACATTTGAATAATTCGAATTCGTGTGCGGTGAATGGCACAAATGGTGGTGGGCGGCTAACCAGCAACAGCTATCGGCGACAGACATCAATGCATCACCACCATCAGCAGCAGCAACAATTACAGCATCATCATCAGCATAATAATGCTGAGGCACGATTGTCGGCAACACCACCAACAGCTTTGGTCCAGAGTGGAGTGATACTAAGCGGTGACAAAAGGTGAGGCACCATGACTGTGGTCCTACAGACCGACACAGAACTCTAAACTATTTCAAAACCCCAGCAACTAAACAAAAAACACGAAACGAACCGAACTTTTGTCCTTTGTCCAACATCATTAAGGCATCCCAGGCACAGAAACGAACACTAACTGTCGTTGTTGTTGTTATTGTTGGTTAAATGTTATCACACAGTGTACAGAAGAGGAAGCCGCGTTTTCGAAAATAAAAATAAATGAGGTAAAGAGAGAAGCAAACCAACTGAGTGAATGGTGTCCATCATCACAATTCCATTATCACAAATAATGTTTGGATATCTATTTTTGTTATTTTCTTGTGGGGACATTCCCTGGAGATCAACAATTTCCATTCCTTTTTGCTAACCAAAACAGTATTACATATTTAAGTATTTGTATTTATATAGATTTGTTTGTATATTTTTTGTGTACACAAACAAAATTAATTGAGGATATCATCAAATATTCCAATTCTAGATAATTTTGTACAGTAACCAAAGTAATGTAATGAAAAACAAAAAAAACAGAAATAATGGAAGAAAATAAAGGAAGTCAAGTTTCCTTTATGTCTCCTTTGTTTCCAGGCTGTAAGTGTAAATATTGTGACACCCCAAGTGAGATGATAGTGATTTTTTTTGTGTTATCTGTTTTCATGTCCCTGTCATATTTCCTGTATTTTGATTTTTTGTAAAAGAAACAGAAATTGTATCTCAAAGACTTTGTTGTAAAAAGTTGTTTTAATTTTGATTTAATTGTAAAGATAAATTTAATGTATTATTCAATGTTTACACCGATATAAAAATGAAACACACACACACATAATTATATATCTGTTTTATAAGTAAATTAAAAACTATTTTAAGTGTAATGAATCAAATCTTTAAGATAATTCTGTAATATTTTAACTATATATTAGTCTTGTATCTCAAAATTAATGTATAAAATTAATTTAAAACAGGATAATATAAATAAAACTATGAAAAAGAGAAACGAAAACAAAAATTTGGAAAAATGTTTTTGGTATCAATTAACAGCATTCAAAATAAATGGGGTTGATTCTCCTTAAAAGGACACTCTCTTAAATCTCAAGCTTTAACCGGGTTCATTTGTATTGCAAAATTACTTTAATTATATAAAATTGGTATCTAGGAAGAATTGTGAAAATACCTACTTTCAGGTTCACTCATTCTCCTTTACACTCCATTTTCCAGCTATCGAAAACAACCACATTCTCCTTACAAAATAACACTTTCAACGAAAATGTCTTTGAAAACCAGGAAACTAATAAAGATCTCCATATTCAACTCGATTCTGACAACTTTAAAAACATCATTCTCTAAGTATTGCCTCTCTTAACTGCACCCATTCTCCCTAACAGCCACTCTCCCAATTATTCAAAGTAAAAATATTTTACTTACAAAACAACGCGTTCCACGAAAATGACTTTAAAATTGACGAACGTCATAACAAAGGAAATTATTATCAAAAGTCCATTCTCAACCAAAGCCATTTTTATATAATCATGCTCACAAATCAAATTATTTTCCTTTACACTTCTTCTCCCATTCTCTAAAAATATTCACTCTCTCATTAGTCCATACTTTATCACCCACTCTCCCAAAAATATACAAAACAATAATATTCGCCTTGCAAAAAACAACACTATCAACGAAAATAGCTTTGAAATCTGGGAATATCCAAACAAATTTATCCATTCTCTTCAAACCCATTTTACTATAATCATGCTCTCAAAACTATACAACCAATCTCCCAACTATTTAAAATATCATTCTCTACAAATACTCACTCTCTCATCAATCCATCCTCTTTATCACCCATCAAGGAACATCATAACAAACCAATCCATTCTCTGTTCAAAAAGTCCACTGTCTCCATCCATTATGCCCTCAATTTTCCATATTTCTTTATACATATTCTTCCTATTATTTAAAATGTCATTCACCAAAAATATTAATCAATTCTTCTTAGCACTCAATCTCCCACTTATTCAAAACAATAACATTCTCCTTAAAAACAACAAACAACAACAAAAACCGAGCCCCCATACACGCACTTTCGCGCCTAAACATTATCCACAAATTCCCTCTCTGCTCACTTCCAATTCCGCTCAAAATATCATTCTCCTTACAAAACAACAACACTCTCAACCAAAAATCGTTCTTCCATACTTTCACTCTCGCCTCTAAAACATTCTACTCCATTTCCCACTCTCTTCAACTGTATCATCTCTAATTCCGTTGTAAATATACCCATTATGTACGTAATAGTGATACCTCTCACTCTCTCTTGTGTTAACTCACAATGAAGGTCATATTGTGTTATGAGAATCAAATCTAAATGCCGTTACACACAGCCAGCTGTCTGTATGCATGTCTGTGTGTGCATGCGTACCATACTGCTGCTGTTGCTCTGTTGTGATTTCTCTGCTGTTGATCCCACACCTTGACGTATGATTGATGACGCCGAAATGAGAATATAATTCTACAAACACTCTGCCACATATTAACACTTGTATAAAACAAAACGTAGACGACACACACACGTATTTCGCCAAGCAAAAGGAAAACAAAACACACACAATCAGACACTCATACATATTTAGAATAGCACAGTCTCCTCTGTGGCTATGGTCGTTTATATATGGTAAGAGATTTAATGTATTTCCTAGTCATTTTCGGGCTGTGAGGGGGAAAGTGGAACTATTGTGCTTGAGTACCTGTTGGAAAAGAGGATGAGTGAGAGAGAGGGAGAGAGTGTTGAACAGAAGAAATGCAGAAAATTGTAAGCATAAATCATTACAACTAACGATTCGTACAATCGCACAATTATAACAAATTCGAAATTGTTTTTCTGTGTGTTATTGATTGATTAACCCCATATGTGGTTGTTTTATAGGGCAATATTGAAATGGTTATAGAGAGAAAAAAATCATATAAAAAATTATTTATTACTAATAATTGTGCATGGTTACAAGATATGGCAGAACTGTGTATAGTGACCTAAGCCAATAATCATCATTGCAAATACAAGATTTGTCAAAAAAATATAATAATCATACAACAAAATGGTGCATATTTGGCCCAAATCGGACATTCCGAAGCATGTTAAATAAAGTCCTATAGTTCAAATAAAAATAATGGATTTCTTTTTTCCCAACCTAATATATATTTTTTAAGGCTCTTGATATCAATAATATCCATTCATAATCAATGTTAGCATCGATTTCGAATGTGTGTCTCATCGTTTTCTCTAATTTTATGCTAGAGAATAAAAAAATCTCAGCTCTTAAATTTTTTTTAAATTCAACATAGCGTATACGTTGTGACAATACTTATACGCCCTATTGTTCCCATACAAACATATAAAGTCTTATTTTGCAGTAAATTAAAAAAATCTGATATTAAATCACTTCCCCGAATTTTCATAATTTCACATAATAATGTATGTAATAAAGACAACTCGTCTCGTCATATCCTCTCGATGACATTGTTTTTCTTTCTGCACGTGTAATTTTCCCTTAATTGATATTAACTCGTTCGATTTCAATCTTTTTGTGGTTGAAAAAAAAAACAGTTTCATTGTAAATTGTCGTAGTAGTCTCTGTCACAAGTGTCAATTTAATTTATTGAGTTGTTAATGATGATAATGATGGCGGCGATGATGATGACATTCACAATTGCTGTCGATAATGTTATTCATTGTAATGGAAAAAAAATATATACATATGAACATTAAATAAATACAGACAGATATTTAACACTTATTTTTTTTAAATATTTATTGACATATTTACATTGTGATTTATGAATATGTGTGTTCGTGTGTGTCATACATTTGTACTTACGCATGTAAAGTGCTGAATGTCAACTCAGTGGCATTACATGATAATAATGGGGTAAATATGGCGACAGTGTTTCATAAAAATAATTAAAACAGATACAGATTTTTTAAAAGCCAGTTGAGATGATGAATTGTGATATACTTCCAAATAAATAAAGCATTATATTAAAATATCAATATATTCAGCTTTTAGCCATCTTGGCGTATGACTAAAGTAAAAAAAAATATTTCAAGCTTAAAGTAATTTAAAATGTCCTATAGCTGTAATAGAACTACCAGGCATATGGGCGTATAACTATTCTCACAACGTATACGTCAGGGTATCCAAACAATATTTTACAGAATTTAGTTTACAATGTGCAAATCATAGCTAAATTTATGCTACTTGAATTAATAGATCACGATTTACAATCATCTATAGCAAATGTTTTCTCTCAAGACTTATTGAAACTGTGTGGTCGCCTAGGCGTATAACTACTATCATAATGTATACGTCATGGTGTTCAAGAAAAAATAGTTTGCAAAGTGTGTTTAAAATACATTCATACAGACATTCATAAGAATTTTTTGTGCTACAACTATCATTGTTCCCCCTTCGAAACCACTGTACATCAATCATAATTAATAAATATTAAAAACACGTTATTTTTACATTTATCGTCATACTTACATCGGCTTATATGCACACACATACATATTACGATATGTATAGCACACTTGACATATACAATGAAATTTGCAATGGTGATGACGATAACACACTTTAAAACTGAGACCTTTTGCATCGGATAAAACAATAAATTATCATTGAAGGCTTACAATGTGGGTCGCACACGGGCAGAATATTTGTTTTTTATATTAAATTAATATTATTATAATAAACAATAATACCAAAAATATAAATATATATAAATATATAAAAAGTCAAAGCTATATATATATATATATATAAAACCAAATACTATTTTTTTTTTATACGCCATGGTGTTCCATAAATATTTTAGAAAGTGTTTTTAAAACAGGGTCAGACAGAGAACCGTTTTTTACCTCCTCCACAACTTACTCTCAAATGATGTGGGTTTTAAAATGACAAATTTTTAAACTCATTAGCAAAAATTTCCGT